AACGCACTTGGCATTTCCGCAATAATAATTTTTATTTGGTTGCGTAAGCAGATTTTCTCAGGGGAAATGCCGATTATGCGGGAAATAATGTATTCCTGTGTTTTACAGAATAAACTCCCTTGACATATAAATTGCGAACGCAGTTTTGGCTCACGGTATATAAAATTTATTTTACTATTTTTACCTTGATGCTTCATATAAAAGCAAAGACTTGTTGTCCGATCGAGCCTCAAACAGGCGTTTACTGTAATATTTAAGTTCGGACCAAAAACTGACTGTCTTAAAATGGTCCCTAATCTCACCTTGGGAATTCGTACCATTTCTTAAACATTAAAAAATAAATAATCAGTTTCTAAAAATGCTTCGTCATCATTTATGAACTTACTTTTATCTAAATATGAAAATTGAGTCAGACCTCTTTTGGATGGCTGATCATTTCTCAAAAATGCATTTTTATACAGAAGATTTGTGCATTTAAGTATGTAAATGTCCTTATTTATTACCCGCCGCTGATATTCAATGGTAGTCTAAAACTCTGTTACCTTTAGTGGAACGAAATCGAAATAAACATTCGGCTCCATTTAGATAAAAACGCGATATATAGTAGTTAGTGCTCACCTTACTAGGACCAGCTTCTGAGAGGTGTGTTACTAATCCAATTTCTTTTGTCTAATATGATACACTATCAGACAGCGCGAGTCAGATTGGCTTCCGATTTTACTATTCTGGCAGTATTAAAACACATTTTCCTGAGGTATAAGACACCGACTTCCGTTATTCGTAAGGGAACAATTTCTACTAAGTTAAATAAGATCAGAATATGGGAGGATGGGCAGAATAAGTTGAGCAACGTTACGCCCAAATCAAATTATTTTTTGTCCACAGAGCAAACTTGATTTGGGTTCTATTCCCAAAAGAACATGTTCGCCTAGCCTCACTTTTAGCGAATGTTGTCAGAAAATAACACAGGCGATCTTTCACCATAAAAAACCACACATTCATCTCAACTATGACAGTTTTGGAGAACTTTTCAATGTATTTGTCAGACTACATTTCGCCCAATCCTAATTCTTTTTGGGTAAATTTATACCCACAAGATGCCTCTAGCATTAAAAACGCTTCTAATGGCATTATTCTATATGTACTACATTAACCAGTGTTTCGGCGGTGTTATTTTGAATTTTAGATACAAAAGCGGATGTCGCAGTCGTAAAAGCATCAAAAACGATATTTTACATAATGTGTTCTCTGAAGAATCTATTCTAAAGAACAGGTATTCGGTGACAATATTTAGCTATGGTTCTATTATTGGTCATCCAGTCCTTGATAAATAGAAATTTCGACCATATAAGAACAGATAAAATTCAAATGACCAAATTACTGTGAAAGCGTAAACCACGTGAAAACATTTTATTTCGCAAAAAATGGTCAGAAACTTTTTAAATCAAACGATTTCACTTTTCTGCCTCAAATAATGAAAAGGTTCCCTAGCGCTGGATGTATTTCCAAAGACTGTTTAATGATTCTAGGCCTGCAGTTGTATTTGACATTAAGGTGATCATATGTTAGTTCATAAGTCCAGTCTTTGACAGACAAATGAAAAATAAGACTTTGAAAATTCTACCTAATTTATGGAACACTAATTAGTAAAGTTTTCGATATTTTAAAAATTTGTTTCAAACTATTTATCATACCTAATGTAACAGTGATCTTAAGCGCACTTTTTGATGATGTAACAACTATCCTTCCCTAGATTTGGAATAAACTATTGTTCGAAAGACATTTTCTTCAGGGTCTGTTGCTATTTTAAAATAACACACATTCATACGGCTACTGTTCCTTGAAAAAACTTGGAGAGCACTCACTAACAGTTTCTCAAATTGAGGAAACACTTTTCGAAGGTGGCTCATAGAACAAATTGGTTTACATAATGCCCGTTATTACTAGCCTGATTTCCAAGAAACGACCGAGTCACGAGACGGTCGGGACCAATAAGTGTCGTCATGGTTAACGAGAAGGAGGAAGACACATACACGTTGTCATGTTTTGTGGAGACATTAGTGATCATACTACCAAGCACGAGGTGCACGCGTCCGGCTGTACACAGAAATATCTCGTTGTAGAAATGAATAATTCAGAAGCTGAATGAAGTTATTAAAATACAAATAAATCTTTCTTAAAAAGCATAAGTCGATATATTCAATGCTGGCCCTGGTGTGCGATCTCTGGGACAGTAGGTGTATTAGTCTGAGCTTTCGGTTTTGTATAGGAGACCGGCGTCAGAGACTGTGAGAATGCGACATCAAATGGGCAGATTTGTAGTCAAGCCATGAAGGGGGGATATGAATGCAGAGGGTGGTATTCGCGATATGCTGAGACCCACGCCGTCTCACGGTGGCGTGACTGCGTGCACCTTTGGCTGGAAATTGGGTCTCGCCTCTTGGCCGCCGGAACGGAGCGCGTGATAGCAGGGGGGTATGTCAACGTGCCCGTTAATAGAGATGGTGTCAGACACCCAGGCCTCCAACAGTTCTCGCCCTGTCTTATTGTTGGCCCGCGCTACTATCCACGTGCTCCCGAAGTTGACTTCGTGGTCTTCCTCTAGTGTGTGAGTGGCGACCTGAGATAACGGGTCGCCTCTCTGGACCGCCCGTTTGAGTTCCGTTATTCGTGAGCTAAGTCGTCGTCCGGTCTGTTCTGTGTAGTGGCGAGTGCATTCCCGACATGAGATCTGATAGACGACACCCGATTGTTCTCCCACGTCTAGGCGATCCTTCACTCGCATGATTTTGTTGCTCATGGTCGCTGTCGGACAGTGAGCGATACCCACGTCTAGCTGTCCGGCGATACGTTCCATCTCTTCAGACACATTGTTCACGTATGGTAGAGGTTGCCAGGTTGTTGGCGGCTCTCCTCCATTTGTTCGCCGTGGGTGCTGGTGGAGGCAGCGGCTGACGAAGCTGTTCGGGTATCCATTCCTTGCCAGTTGGTCCCGAAGATGCCGAAGTTCTCGTACTCGTCCCTCTGGCTCACTGCAGTGCATTTTTACCCTTTGGAACAGTGTCCCAAAACAGCTGCATTTATGCGCCATTGGGTGGTTACTGTAGTAGTTGAGAATATAAGTCGTGTTAGTCGCCTTTCTGTACACCGTGGTGTTGAGTTCGCCGTTGGGTGTGCGTGAGACGAGAACGCCAAAGAAAGGCAGCTGTTCGGCATGCTCTTCTTCCCTTGTGAACTGAATGTCCGGGAAGATGCCGTTGAGCAGGTCTTGAAAGTCGGCCAGTCTGCTCCTTTCAATTATAACGAACGTGTCGTCCACGTACCGGTGCCAAAATGCAGATTCATAGAGGTTGAAAGCGATTTTTTCCTGCTCCTGCAGGACTTGTTCTGTAACCAGGCTGGATATTGGCGAACCCATCGGCGTTCCTTTGATCTGCTCGTATGTTCTGCCATTGAAGGTGAAGAAGGTTAGTTGGCAGAAAGCAAAGAGTTGCAGAAAGTGGTCGATTTTTAGGGGTCTGTTCTTTTTGTCATAGTTCCCTTCGATTTGTTTGCGAAGAACTTCGCGTGCCTGGTCCGGTGGCATTGACGTAAATAATGAAACCACGTCGAAGGACACCATAATCTAATCCTCGGATGTCGGCCAGGAATTGGGGGGGGGGGCTGAATTGATGAAGATTTTGGAGCTTTCTCGGAGAAAGTTAAGTTTTCGGGCCATCCATTCGTCAGCTGACGAACAGAAGCACCAATACTATGTCACCCGCAGAAATAGAAGCAACGAAGCAATTTAAAATGGACAAAGATATAATAGTGCTGCCAGTCGACAGAGGTAGAGCAACCGTCGGGATGAAACGCGTTGACTACAACGAAAGGCACAAGCCCTCCTCGATGACCAACAGTCCTACAAAGCCACGCCTTCCTCGCGATCGAAATCGATGACTGTTCAACTAACTGGACTCCTGAACCGACTTAAACGATGTAATGCTATATCGCTAGACGAATGGCGACAGATGAAACCAACGGACACGGCAATGGTCCGGTTTCATGGACTACCCAAAATCCACAAGCTTAATGTTTCCCTTCGCCCGATCGTTGCCTTAAAAGGCAGCCCCACTTACAATCTATCCGAGTGTATGGCCCGAAAACTTAACTTTCTCCGAGAAAGCTCCAGGATCTTCATCAATTCAGCCCCCCCCCAATTCCTGGCCGACGTCCGAGGAAAAGTTGTCCGACCGGATCAGATTATGGTGTCCTTCGACGTGGTTGCATTATTTACGTCAATGCCACCGGACCAGGCGCGTGACGTTCTTCGCAAGCGACTCGAAGGGAACTACGACAAAAAGAACAGACCCCTAAAAATCGACCACTTACTGCATCTCTTTGCTTTCTGCCAACTAACCTTCTTCACCTTCAATGGCAGAACAGACGAGCAGATCAAAGGAACGCCGATGGGTTCGCCAATATCCAGCCTGGTTGCAGAACTAGTCCTGCAGGTGTCTTTTTAGTAGATTATGTTACCTAATTTCGTAATCTTGACCCTTGTCTTTCCAAAGTTGGCACACATCCTGTTTTAACTATTTTCTCGACCTTTGTTCAAATTTCCTACCTTTATGAACCTTTTGTTAGAAGGGCGTGTAGAAGTCCTTTGCCTTGTCTGCGCTGACGTTCAAACGTTCAGCAAATGTGTAAAGTCTACTGACAATAAGCGAACGTTAAGTTACAGATAAACATGGTTCAAATGGCCTTTTTGGTTACGTCAGAACTGTAATGACCGATGAAGTATTGACAACATTCTTATATTGGTAGGCTGAATATGCCGAGTATTGCCTTACTCAGCAGGTGTTTACTAGTCTACTCGTATTGTGTGTCAATTACGTTTGGCAGAGCCACTCTCGGTAGAATCAGATAAAATAGAATCCAGAATGACAAAAGAGCGAAATACGTCCGCTTTTTTTGATTGTTTGGGTAAGTTTAGCCTTTGTGCTCTAAGTTTAAATTAATCAGATTTTTAGGCAAATCTTTTGTGCACATCGGTTTCAGACAGCGGCAGTCTTCCGGTATTTTGTATCGTGAAATTACGTTTAGATAAATGTTGACATATCCCACCCCCATGAATAGGCACACATATTTAGTAAGCCTTGATACGTAATAATTAAAATTTTAGAGCTCGAGATGGTATCACCATCGATATTAGACGTATTTATCTTTTGCACCCGTTTCTGGTCTCAAATAACTCAGATAGCTTACTAATAAATTCAAAAATATCTTGATGACGTTGTTGCTTTTATTTCCCAACAATATTTAACAACAGGTTTTAAACTTCATGGCCAACAGTCAAAGTATAATGTGTCTCTTTGCGTCACAAATTTTGTCAATCGCCAGTCATCTTCGCTTTCCATCGAAGATGTCGTAATATTGTCCATTTCAGCGTAAAGAGTTGGTATAAGCAGAAAGGGGTGTGATTCATTGTGCAGCCAGGCGCTTGTGTAAATTGTAAACTAACTCCTCAGTCTGCAATAGCGCTTGTGGTGATGAATAGGCGGCCAAGAAAATAATTCAGCACAGACTAGATTCTTCTCATCAAATGTTGAAATAGTTACCGAGGTTTAAACTAAATCCATTTCACGATAGAACCATATCTACAAAAATATATCAATTGGAAGTATCCAAGCGCGTCAAGATGTTTGCAGCAAGATCTTTATGTTTGCGTTATATGCGTGAATGAGTTCTTACTTTGTGGAAATTTTGGCAAAAAAACGTCAAAAACATCCATACGGTAATAAAACAATACCAAATGTGTTTCGAAAATGACCACTGATCACTAAGACATCTGTATAAACGACCCGGCTGTGCAAACTGCCCAATGACTGTAGGCAATAGCAGTCGAGCCGTTGCGGGTCAACCGTTTGCCCAATGGAGTGGGCGCAGTATCGTTGACGCGACTGTGAATTATAGCAAAACAGACTTTCAGAGGCTCCACTGTTATCCTTACTCCCTCAGTGATCCGGCTCCGATGGGAGGATGTCAGGCCAGGTCGACCGGATTTGGGCTGGGATGAAGTGGCTGCCAAAGCTTAACGGTCCCTTTTACGCACGCCACACAAGACATGCTTTCCACAATATGGGCCAGGCTTTCAGGGAGACAGCCTGGATCTCACACCAGTATTAGCGGCCTAACGGTCAAATTAAGAAAGAACCATTTTGGCTGGCGCTGACTTATCCAGTTAGTCGCTCCACGCACCGAAAATAATGACCGTGAGGACCGAGTCATCCCCTCAGTTGGCGGCTTTCCAAATCACGGCTTTCAGCGCGTGGTGATACGTTCAAACGCCTAAAATGCATTACGGAGAGGAATGCTCTTGATTTCGGTGGGGATGGATATTTAAGTGTCAGCCGAACTTTCGCTTCTCTTTTCTTGTGCGTCTGTCTTCGGTCCTGGCCTGGCGGCCTATTAGCGATGAATTGGGTGCTGTGTCAATAGTTACTGTGCAGTACCTCAATCTACTACTGGCAGATATCTAAAATTACTTAATGTCAGCATAATTAAATAGGCAATTTCCAGGAAACAGTCGGGGAGAGGAGGGCACGAACACTGAAGCAAGGATTTTATTTGTTTGGCTTATCATATCCCCACCTGGACACGTTATCAGAGACGGAATCGGGTGGAGTTACTAATTTGCCCAACTACTTGAGCATTTATAATATGCAGTTCCCAGGCTACTGAACTCTTATAAAACTGGTCGCTCACGATTTCTTTACAGGTAGTTACAGGTGGTGAACTTATTGTTTGATTGTAAGCAACTGCAATTTAATTACTTGGGAAATGTGGCTCATTGGTGCTGGCACTAGGACGAGAAGTCCTAGTTTACACGCCACATAAGCGCTTAATGCACGCACAAAAGAAACATTTTATGGAAGATCATTGTCTATGAATGCTGACTTCCAGGTCGCAAAATACATTGCGTGCCCCAAATTTCGACATACTTTAGGATGTCCGTATGGAAATGGACATTTAATGAAAAAACGTAAAGCCCAATGGGCTTAGTTGTAAAAGTAACAAGCTTTACTTTTCAAATTTTCGCGGAAACTACAAATGTTCAAATGTTATGAAGTTATTACAAATGCATAACTTGTGCGCCGCTTGCAACAAGGCACATATCAAATCGGTAGTCGAGATCCAGCTAAACTTGCTGCAGTATGTCTGGTTTACCAGTCTTTAGAGCCTCAGTTATTCTCTCCTCGACGCCTTCACACATGTAGGAAGAGATGGTGCGAAGACCAGTTTGCTCACACAGCCCCGGAGAAAATAACCATGGTGTCAAGCCAGGCGAACGTAGAGGCCATTTCAATAGCACGCTGTCTCCATCAACTGTATGTCCGATCCACCTCCCCAGCAATTTCGCCCTATGAATTTATAATGTGTGGGATGTTAATCCTGTTGAAAATGGTTTAAACATGATTATTTGCCTTAGGATCGTCAAGTAACCAGTTCTGAAGCATCGCTTGATAGTTGTCGCCGATCAAGTTTCCCTCAAAGAAAAGAGGGTCATACACACAGTTCTTTGGGACGGCATATAACACACTCAAGCTAGTGAGTCCCGTTCACGTTCGACTATGTTATGTAATTTTCCATGTCTATAATGGGAAGGCTTTGCTTGCCTACCTTGCCAATCGCATGGAATGTAGTCTCATCATTGAAAACAGGGCGGTTTTCGAAGTTACGTCATCAAATTTCTTCAGTATATATATTTACAAAAAAATCCCGACTTTTGCTTTTTACTCGGCTTTAAAGTTTGCATAAGCTGAAGCTTTTAGGGGACAGTCGCGAGCGTCTTCATAGTATTCGTCAAATGTCTGACTTAAGTATCCGGGATTCAAGACTTGCTCTTCGCACGAATTTTCTCAGATTGCGAATTAAAAATTCACGAGCTTGAACCACCATCTTTTCTGAAACTGCTGGTGCCCAGATCCTTGTTTTCGACACAAACAGTTTTCCACTTGAAAGTTCTTATGCCACGTCCGAATCTACGTCCCTGTTGGGCTCGTTTATGAAATCTTGAAAAATGTGTACACTTCACATTCAAATTTGACTGACTTTGGCTGTACTTCAGTTCAGAATGTGTCTTTTGCTCTTTAAGTATAACGGTATATCTACTTCTGAAGGGGAAAACGTTCAAAAGATTGGCTTTCAAAAGTACACTGAATTCTAGCCAAGCCGCTTCAATTCAAGATAATTTGCGCGAAATATGCCCGCGTAATTAGGTGATGAAATGACGCCAAACGCTTAGGGCTACCCTGTAAGCAAAAGTATGTGACAAACAAAGACAATTTTTATGCAGCCCACGCGGTATGTTCTCGGTAGAGTGTTACGACCTCCGATTTTCTATCAAAGGTCAACACCATTTAATTTATCCCAAAAATTTACTATAGTCAGCACAGTCCGTCCAAAATCCTCAAAGGGTGCGCACTACTCCGTTATCACAACCACTCCCTTTTAACCCATATTCTCAATTATGGAACTTAAATTTAAAAGCGCAGGAAAAGACGCAGTTTCTTGAACAAGTGTTTTGCTAACACTGATAAGGTT